ATACAGATGAAGGAATTCAAACGGTCGGTTTTAATCTCAATAAATGTGTTTTGTACTATTAAATATTATATTTACATATTAATATTATTATAATTTAACAGAAGGACTATCCAGAGACATCAAATGTTGTTATTGATCAACCGGGACAGGTTACCGCGCTCTTACAAAATACACGTGTTTAGTTTTATACATTTTTTTTTTGAAACATAAACAAATGGTGTATAATATAATTCAAGGATTTTGTACTTTATATACATTACTTATTTCTTTTTTTTTTCCTTTTTGTTTGGCTCTTAAACAGAATGCTCCCGAGCCTACTATAGTGGCAACAAGAACTAAATCCGAAGCTCTAATGAAGCTTGCCGCTGATCGAGTATTTAAAAGAACAAACTTTAATAGTTTATGGTGTGTATATAACATATATATATATATATATATATGATATCTTTAATTTTCCTGGTTTTTTAAAAGAAAATTATATACATTACTTATTTCTTTTTTTTTTTTCTTTTTGTTTGGCTTTTAAACAGAATGTTCCCGAGCCTACTATAGTGGCAACAAGAACTAAATCCGAAGCCCTAATGAAGCTTGCGGCTGATAGAGTATTTTTTTAAAAAAAATTAATAGTCTATGTTGTGTATATATACATATATATATATATATATGTTATATTTCTTTAATTTTCCTTGTTTTTTGAAAGAAAATTATATACATTACTTAAGTCTTTTTTTATTTTTCTCTTCGTTTGGCTTTAAACAGAATGTTCCCGATCCTACTATAATGGCAACAAGAACAAAATCCGAAGCTCTAATGAAGCACGCCGCTGATCGTGTATTTTAAAAAAAAATAAGAATTTAATATTTTATGTTGGGTATATAACATATATATGTATATATATACATATATATATATATATAAATATATATATATATATTATATATGTAGTTTTCCTGATTTTTTAACGAAACTTATATTACCAATTTCAATCAGATTCGTGAGCCGTCTCCACCAGTCTGCGGAGATATGTTTGATCAAGCTGACATATTTTCTCCGCTCACAACGCAATTTCTTGAGGAAGTTGATAGAAGTACGGAGGAAAAATTGAGGAATGCATCAAAGGCCAATGAACCGGTAACAATCATGTTAATTATGTTCACTATAATTAGTATAATTAAACCATCAACGCAAGTTAGTCTATATATTATTCTAATGATTTATTTTTGGATCAAATTGTTAAGGATCTAGCACCGCCCAAAGTTGATGTCCAGATGGTGACAGATTATGGAAACGCATTGATTATTTCTCAGCCGTCCTTTGATTTAGGTCTCACACCCATAGACTCATCAAGAGATCAACAAACCACCACAGGAAAATTCAATGGTCAAATTTTATTTATATTTTGATTTGAATTATACAAAAAACAATCATTTTCATTACAACACATATATTTAACCTTTTTTCCTTTCTTTTTTTTCCAGGAGATCACTACAAAAGTTGTGCACGAGATGGCAACTCGAGAACTTGGAAAGAAAAACGAAGCAGAACCTTCTTGCTACGACGTTGTACTCGTACCAAACCCACAAACCACGCATATGGGGACTTCAAAGACAACAGAAAAACTCAAGAAACGCCGTTGTGTGAGGAAAGGAATTCTGCGAACAAAATCGTGTCCGTTTGACGTTGATTTCTGGGAAGAACCTGAGCGGACAAACGATTTTGTGAAGTGGTATATGACGGGTATGCTCAAGACAGCGCGCAAGTTTAAAGACGGGTACGAAGCAAAAAAAATTGAGATAAAAAAAAAATTATTTTTTGCAAATAGTATCTGGTCAGTATATGTACATTACATATACTTTACAAAATGGTCAATGATTTCCTTTAATATTATTTAATTTTTAATACTAGTCTAATACAGATATTATTGGTTTTATGGGCAGGTTATGTTCAGTATACGTAAAATTTAAAGTCAGTTAGCTTTGTGTTCATAGACAGTTTTCGTGGAAATTTTATTTGCATTTTATATATAGTTTGTGTTCAGTATATGTACAACTTTGAACATTATATGAACAGTTTATAGGCAGGTTATGACAACTTTGTAGAAATGTTGAGTATATGCAGCATATGCTGTAATATCCCGAGATATTATCAGTATAAATTACGTTTAATTCCGATATAGTAACGTTATTGTTTATTATTTTTGGAATTAATTAAGTTCAGTCGGATTACCGAAAGCTATTTTCGGCGTACCGTTTACGTCCGAAATAATTTTGGTAATTAAGTATTATGTTTAATTTAACAATTAAACATCATTAGAGTGATTAATTGGGATTAATCACATTAATTAGCCTCAAACCCAAAATGCCGTGAGATTAATAATCTTTACCCTAAGTTTCATAAGTACGAAAGTTTCCTTAAGCTTAAGGAAAACCAATTTTTGTTAGCCAATCAAAACTTGTCATTTGGCCATTCATAAGAGTGCTTAGTCATCTTTGGTTTAACCAAATTTGAGCAAGTGTTAAGGCTAGAATTAGCCACGTTCTTGCTCGTCATCATACCACACTTGGGGCCGCGCCTATATAAGGGTATATTTAGGGAAAATTTTGCCATTTTCCCTTAAGGTAACCGAGCATCTCTTCCAGCATACTTAGTCCCTTGTTCAGCAACCCTTTTATCCCAAAAAATTCTCCCAAAAACTTCAGCAATCGCACGACAATACAAGGAGCTACCGCACGGCGTTCACGCGAGGAGAAGCTACGCTTTAATTTTGATTTTCAGTCGAGTGATTGTTAAGGTATTTCCTCCTCGTGTTAAAATCATGTTAATAAGTCTACTTTAGAGTTGATTGTGCGGAAGAATTTTCAGAAATTTATAAGAAAATCATGTTAAAACCGTGCTTAGGTTCAGTCAAGTTAATGACCGAACAAGTTCATTTTCTCTCGGCAACTTTTGAACAATAATCTGCTAAATGATCAGTTAGTTCATTATAAGTTCAGTATGATCGAATTGTTAAGTTAAAAATGAAGAATGGCCGATGAAAGGGCCTCAGCTGGCCACCCGCGCCTATCGCGCGTAGTTCGGGTGCCGCGGGCCGAGGCTTGTTGTTGTTCGGTATTAATCGAGTTCTTTCGTGTGAATATCCCTTAAATAATTTCAGTTTAATATTCATGTTGAGATGTTCAGTGGTTGTCAGATGATAAGTAAGATCGGCCGAAGCACGGCACATAGCCGTCGGCGGCACTTGGGTGTTCGCCGCGGCCTTCGCAGATTCAGCAGCTGTTCGTTGTAATTTCAGGTCCAATTCAGCAAGTTTATCCATGTTAAGTTTAATTAAGTTAAAGTGGTCGATGTCTTTTTCAATCCGGCCGAGAGATGACCGAAGGCCATAGGCACCGCAC